GCCCACAGATGCTGGGGCATCTTCTACTCCCATTGGTCACAGTCCAGCCCCCCTAAAGGCTGAAGAGCTACAGACTGGCCCTTTGCTTAGACCCCTGGTCTAGTGGAATGCACACATCCCATACATCGATAGATCATGGCTGTTTTGGCAGCAAAAGGTGACCTACTCAATAGTGGGTGGTCATGATGCTATGGCGGATCAGTGTATCTCAGCAATACATGCACTTTATCTGTGTTTTATCCGTTCAAAGATCCTGCAAGTAAAGGAAAATACCTTTTGATCCGACAGAAATGCACTCAGCTCTTAAGTCCTGTTGAGGGGCTGACAACACACAGCATCATCATGGACTGAATGGTGTCAGCCCTGCAGAATCCCTCTCTCTAGATTGTTGGGACCTGGGAGGGCTGGTTGGACCCAGGGGCGGACTGACCATTTGGAAACTCGGGCAGTGCCCGAGGGCCCGGGGGCCCCATGAGATGCCCCTGGTATCTTTTTCATAGGCTTTTTTGAGTTTGGGCAAGGACAAAGGGGCCCCATGATCCCCTATTGCCCGGGGGCCCCATGAGTTGTCAGTCCGCCCCTGGTTGGACCCCTTGAAATAACACACATTTCTGCATCCAGAGGCATACACGTTTACACGGGTACTTGGATACATTCGTATAGACATGTACAGCCATTGAATTCTACAAACGGCCAGATGCAGCTCCTGTGGGCTTCCTGGAGGGGAAACGAGCCGACTGTAAGCTGTACGGCCAGATACGGCTCTGTGCATCTATGCAGGTTGTAGTTGATGTGTTTTTCCGGCGCGTTTTGCTGGTTTTTTATTATATAGGGAAGTATGACAGTTCTGTTCATGTAGTTTCACTTTATTGTGACTTTACACTCTCTGGCACTCAAGTAGCATCAAAGTCGCACTACATGAACACAATGGTCATACTTTTCTATTAGCCAACAATCAAACCAACTCAAAATGCATCGATAACGCAATGCTTACAATTTTGGTGCAGGTCCATTGACGTCTGTTACGCGCATAAACGCAATCTGCTGCGGGGAAAAAAAAAATCCCTGATCCTTTCCAAAGAACGCACCAGCACAAAACGCACAGATGCGAACTAGATCCATAGGAAATCATGTTAAATGGACTGCTGTGTGTTTCTGCAAACTGGAAAATGCACCGAAATCCGCATAAGTGTGAACCTGGGGTAAGGCTAGGTCACATCTGTGCTGGTGGTGCTGCTGTGGATCCACATGAAAATCCGTGCAGCCGCACCACCCGCACAGAGGAATGCGGCGCCGTGGGCGGGTGCCATTAATTCTAATGGCACACCGCCCTGCACTGGAAACACAGCCGTACTGGGAATCGAGGTTCCGGCTGGGCGTTTTCAGAAGAAGTGCAGGGACTTCTTCCCTGCGTGTCCCGGGGCACAAGAGAGTCCATTCAAATGAATGGGCTCTTGTGCCTGCACAAAATGCGGCGTGCACGGCTGCATATATGTGAACCGTGGGGTGAATGGTTTGTCTCAACTCTCAAATTTCCTCTTTATCTGGACAAGTTGGCCTGTTAAAGAAGTTGAAAAGCAACAGACTGACAGGATTAAGAGATGAAAAATGTGAATGCAGCCACCACGTGTGGTCCAAGGAAGGAAAGGCCCAGCGGCAGGGTCAGGAGCAGCCGAGGCTTATTGATGCACATGGGCAGTGAAGGCTGCTATGGAAAATTAGAATATATTTTGTTTTCAGTCTTGGACTTGGATGATGTCAAGGGACCGCCCACAGCATTATTATTACAGGCACTTATATAGCGCCAGCACTTTACATATATATTGTACATTCACATCAGTCCCTAACCCTCAAGGGGGGTACAATCTAAGGTCCCTAACTCACATTCATACATACACATACTAGGGACAATTTAGACAGGATCCAATTAACCTCCCAGCATGTCTTTGGAGTGTGGGAGGAAACCGGAGTATCCGGAGGAAACCCACGCAGGCACAGGGAGAACATGCAAACTCCAGGCAGGTGGTGCCACGGTTTGGATTTAAACTGATGACCCTACTACTGCCAGGGGGCAGGGCTAACCACTTAGCCACTGTGTTAGAAAAGTAGTGCCAGAACGAGGAATACGGTAAACAATCGACCCCCTCCCCCCCCCCCCTCCCATTTTGCAGTACAGGGGACCCCAGAGCAGGGGATTTTTTTTCCCATCCCATAGTTGGGCCTTAACTTAAGCTTTTCTTTAATAGACTTTTTTGTGCTTCTAGTTTAATTGTCTTCAGAAAATGATGCCGGCCTTCTCTGATAAATGCCTCCTTAGTGCAGTCATCACCATTCTGCTGGTCTCCAGATATTGGCCGGAACAGATGGAGAGAAGTATGGATGATCATGACAATGTGCAAACGTTTCATGTGTTGAACATCTGTTAAACTGAGCAATACTGGAACATCTGATTGCCGATACGTTATACATTCACAACAAATCTGTCCTTAGCCTAATAGAAATATCAATTGTTTGGTTGTAGCAAAAAGATCCCACTAGAGGGCGCCAGAAACCATGTCAGGAACTCAGGCCCAGCAAAGCAAATCCAGTGTGCGCCATCTAGTGGGCTTTTTATAAAAAAAACAAAAGATTAGTATGAAAGTGTTACTATACCCTGGACCCTGCATTCACTATATCTGGTCTCCCCGGACCCCGCGTTCACTATATCCGCTCTCCCCGGACCCCGCGTTCACTATATCCGCTCTCCCCGGACCCCGCGTTCACTATATCCGCTCTCCCCGGACCCCGCGTTCACTATATCCGCTCTCCCCGGACCCCGCGTTCACTATATCCGCTCTCCCCGGACCCCGCGTTCACTATATCCGCTCTCCCCGGACCCCGCGTTCACTATATCCGCTCTCCCCGGACCCCGCGTTCACTATATCCGCTCTCCCCGGACCCCGCGTTCACTATATCCGCTCTCCCCGGACCCCGCGTTCACTATATCCGCTCTCCCCAGGACCCCGCGTTCACTATATCCGCTCTCCCAGGACCCCGCGTTCACTATATCCGCTCTCCCCGGACCCCGCGTTCACTATATCCGCTCTCCCAGGACCCCGCGTTCACTATATCCGCTCTCCCCCGGACCCCGCGTTCACTATATCCGCTCTCCCAGGACCCCGCGTTCACTATATCCGCTCTCCCCGGACCCCGCGTTCACTATATCCGGTCTCCCCGGACCCCGCGTTCACTATATCCGGTCTCCCCCCCGGACCCCGCGTTCACTATATCCGGTCTCCCCGGACCCCGCGTTCACTATATCCGGTCTCCCCGCACCCCGCGTTCACTATATCCGGTCTCCCCGGACCCCGCGTTCACTATATCCGGTCTCCCCGGACCCTGCGTTCACTATATCCGGTCTCCCCGGACCCTGCGTTCACTATATCCGGTCTCCCTGGACCCTGCGTTCACTATACCTTTTCTCATCAGCAGTATATAGCAGTCTTGTGACTTCTATCAGTGTTTCACAAACCAAACTCCAGGTGGCAGCAGGTCCCCTTAAGCGCCATTAACTCGTTCAATAAAACTCCAAACACCCGACTCTCCATCACCACATAGGAAGAGGAAGCATCCAATCATGTCAAAGTTTAATACAGATAGCGATTAAAATGGCATTAAAAAATGCGCTCACAGTGCAAAAAAGTCACCAGCGTTTGTATACTGAGAACTTCAGTTTTTTGTCTGCATACTGGAAGTGATATCACTAAGCTCCGCCCTACGCCACCAACTCACTTCGTCAGGGAAAGGAATCCGAGTGATGCTAGGATTCAATATAAACACATTCAGCTCCATGGTAAACTGGAACAAAAAAACATAAAATGTACATAAAACAGCGCTACCTAACACCAATCCAACCAAGGGAACCGCATTGTAATAGTTATGCTGTAATCCCGCTACAATGTGGCTCCTTCCAGTTACCATGGAGATAAATGTTTCTATATACTGAATGCTAGTGTGAGTCGGCTTCCTTCCCTGACGAAGACACATGGGTTAGTGGCGTAACGCGTAGAGCGTTGATGCTTGTATGTGACAGAGAATCGGGGTGTCATGATTTTTATTGAACAATTCAGCAGCGCTTAAAGTGTTACTAAACCCCCAACAGTACAATCAGTCTGTATATGCAGTAAAGCATGCTTGTTATAATCACTGTGGAACCTAAGGGGTTAATCCTCTGCATTGTGTAAAAAGGATGTTTGATCCTGTCTTCTGTGATTCTCTCCTTCTTCTATTATCCCCAATCCATCTGCTGATAAAACAGAGCCTTAGGGGGCAAGCTGCACATGCTCAGTTTGGTGTGTGCAGTATTGCTATTTTTTTTTTCTTGGGAGAGTGCATGTGATCAGCATAGGGCCAATCAGCATTGTCCAGACAGAGGTCATGGATCCTGCATCCTTCTAGAGCAGAATGAAAACTCCTGCAAGCTTTAACCATTGCTCTGCTGGACACTGATATAAGTCACAAGACTGCTATATACTGCTGATGAGAAAAAAGTATTTAGCAGTTTATATTCACTAAAATAATTGCATTTCCATGTTCTGTGTACTGTGGGAGACCAGATCTAGTGATTGCAGGGTCCTGGGGTCCGGGGAGAGCGGATATAGTGAATGCAGGGTCCGGGGAGAGCGGATATAGTGAATGCAGGGTCCGGGGAGAGCGGATATAGTGAATGCAGGGTCCTGGGAGACCGGATATAGTGAATGCAGGGTCTGGGGAGACCAGATATAGTGAATGCAGGGCCTAGTGGCGGGGTCCGGGGAGACCGGATATAGTGAATGCAGGGCCTGGGGAGACCGGATATAGTGAATGCAGGGTCCGGGGAGAGCGGATATAGTGAATGCAGGGTCCGGGGAGAGCGGATATAGTGAATGCTGGATCCGGGGAGACCGGATATAGTGAATACGGGGTCCGGGGAGACCAGATATAGCGAATACGGGGTCCGAGGAGACCAGATATAGGGAATGCAGGGTCCGGGGGACCGATACAGTGACTGTGGGGTTCGGGAGGGACCAGATACAGTGAATGAGGGGTCCGGGGAGAGCGGATATAGTGAATGCGGGGTCCGGGGAGAGCGGATATAGTGAATGCAGGGTCCGGGGGGAACCGGATATAGTGAATGCAGGGGTTCGGGGGGAAACCGGATATAGTGAATGCAGGGTCCGGGGAACGGATATAGTGAATGCAGGGTCCGGGGAAACCGGATATAGTGAATGCAGGGTCCGGGGAGACCGGATATATAGTGAATGCAGGGTCCAGGCTCACTTTATGGAGATTTAAAGGGGACCTGCCACCACCTGGAGTTTGGTTCGGGAAACACATGCCTTTGAGACTTGTCTAGGTCCAGTTCAGAACAGCTACATCTTCTGGGGTTGGTGCACTTTTCAAGTTTTTGGTGGCGCACATGATGAGAATTTGAAAACCAGAAGACTAATTATATTCATAATGGTAATATTCACATGGGACTCAATATATGAACATTTTATGTGTATGAATTGTATATTTTTATTGTGCCCCTATTTATTGATTGCCTCATATTTTGCTGTGAGAACACGGTAAGTGGTTTGCAGCAACTCTTTTTCCTTTTTCTCGCTTGGTTAGCGCAGAGGTTTTTGCTGTCAATATACAACTGTAACGTATCTTTGTAGGTTAGCGATGGAATATCCATTTTCTGCCATGGAATGTCATAATTGGATTGATGAGATTCATGAACAAAGTATCTCTCTGCTTCCGATCGATAGTTTTCTACCCTGGCCAATCTTCTCCATTTGATATAAAGAGAGTCTAAGGCACACTGGGGCTTTCGTAAACGCTTTTTCCCTGGCAGGTTTAAACAAAAAAACAAAACCTAAGCTGCGTTTTTGGAAATATGTTTAGGCATGTCAAGCATTTATTTAATTGTCCGGAATGTTAATTTATTCTGGTCATTGAAATGAAAAAAATGCTGAAGGCACCAAGGAATGGTTTTCTTCTCTCTGGAGCACACAAGTGATGGGTCATTTTCTGCCTCTCAGCACCCCTGTGCATGGACATACAGGACACTATGGAGGGGCGTTTAGAGGTGGGAAAGTTGAACACCTTTCAAGCAGGCTTTTAGAGCTCAAGTGTACATGAGGCCTAAACCATTTGGAAGGGAAGTCATGGCTATTCAATTGTTCTGATCAAATAGCACCCTGATCAAAGAAATGGCAGGGAGTATGGCCCTTAAATTAAGGGATATACCTCCCTTTGTGCAGATCTCCTCTTACTTCCCGCTGTGGCTCTGGGACAGGCAGTGAAGCAACTTAAATGTTCTGGAGTGATGGATAGGGATTGACAGTATTAACCCCTTGCCTACCAGGCACTTTCACCCCCTTCCAGCCCAGGCCCATTTTTCAGCTTTCACACTTTGAATGACAATTGCACGGTCATGAAACACTGTACCCATATGAAATTTTTATAAGACAAATAGAGCTTTCTTTTGGTGGTATTTAATCACCGTTGGGGTTTTGTTTTTGTATTTTGTGCTAAACAAACCAAAAACTGATCTTTGTTATAAAATTTTGTAAATGAGTAATTTTTCTCCTTGACTGATGGGCGCTAATGAGACTGAAGTGATGGGCACTGATGAGGAGGCACTGAAAGGCCGTACTCATATGGCGCAGATAGGCAGCTCAGATGGTCATTGATGTGTAGTGGTAGGCAATGATATGTGGCATTGATGGGGCTACACTGATGATCAGGGCATGGATGATCAGTGTAGCCCCATCAATGCCACATATCATTGCCTACCACTACACATCAATGACCATCTGAGCTGCCTATCTGCGCCATATGAGTACGGCCTTTCAGTGCCTCCTCATCAGTGCCCATCACTTCAGTCTCATTAGCGCCCATCAGTCAAGGAGAAAAAATTACTCATTTACAAAATTTAACAAACCAAGAATTTTTTTTTTTCAAAATTTTCAGTTTTTGGGTTTTTTAGATAAACCCTCTGAGGAATGCCGATTACCAGCTCTCCTCATGAATCGTCAGTGTGACAGCTTGAGGACTGAAATGTCGATAACTGGCATTTCCTTATATACATGTGATCAGCTGAGCACATGACAGAGCCTAAGTCATTGGCTCTTTCCGCTGATTCCCAGGGACACAGCACACCAGATATATGACGTCCTCCCAGAACGAACCACCGCCTGTCCGTCATTTCCTGATATGGCAGGCAGGAGGCGGTTAAACACCCTTAGATGGGGATTGGTCCAGAGCAATTTTCAGGTTTTACTGCAAGCAAATGCACTAGGGCAGTGGTTGTCAACGTATGAGCTAAAGGGGGCCCTCAAATGCAGCCCCTGACCTCGCCAAAGGGCCACACAATGTTCAACATATGTAATGCTTGAGGAATGTCAGAGACTGCAGACCTAATAGAGGAAATGATGGTCAGAGTGTGGAGAGTGCTGGCTGGGGATATGCTGCAGAAGACCATATGAAACGGAGAACGAGGCTAGAAGAGGCCAATGTCATCACCCTGATCAACGTTACCACTACAGATTGCTGAGGACCACTCAAAGGGCTGCATGTGTCTCTCAGTCCACACGTAGGGAACTAAGGTCTCGGCTTTGATTGAGCCATTCTAAGACATTTAGAATGTGTGATGGAAAGTCGTTCTGAGCCCTGTGTGAGGGAAAGTGCTTAAAACATTGTTACTAAACCCCCAACAGTACAATCAGTCTGTATATACAATAAAGCATGCTTGTTATACTCACTGTGGAACCTAAGGGGTTAGTCCTCTGCATTGTGTAAAAAGGCTATTTGATCCTGTCTTCTCTGATCCTCTCCTACTGTCCCCTATCCATTTTCTGATAGTACAGAGCTCTAGGAAGCACTCTACACATACTCAGTTTGGTATGTATTGCTAGAGTTTTTTTGGAAGGGTGCATGTGATCAGCACAGGGCCAATCAGCACTGCCCAGCAGATCATGGGTTATGCAGCCTCATAGGACAGTCAGGAGAATGAAAACTCCTCCTACAAGCTTTAACCAGTGGTCAGTTGGACACTGATAGAAGTCACAAGACTGCTATATACTGCTGATGAGAAAAGGTATTTAGCAGTTTATATTTACTAAAATAATTGCGTTTCCATGTTCTGTGGGAGAGCGGACATCGCGACTGCGGGGTCCGGGGAGAGCGGACATCGCGACTGGCGGGGTCGGGGAGAGCGGGACATCGCGACTGCGGGGTCCGGGGGAGACATCGCGACTGCGGACATCGCGACATGCGGGGTCCGGGGAGAGCGCGGACATCGCGACTGCGGGGTCCGGGGAGAGCGGGACATCGCGACTGCGGGGTCCGGGGAGAGCGGACATCGCGACTGCGGGGTCCGGGGAGAGCGGAGACGGAGGAGAGCGGACATCGCGACTGCGGGGTCCGGGGAGAGAGCGGACATCGCGACTGCGGGGTCCGGGGAGAGCGGACATCGCGACTGCGCGACGCGACTGCGGGGTCCGGGGAGAGCGGACATCGCGACTGCGGGGTCCGGGGAGAGCGGACATCGCGACTGCGGGGTCCGGGGAGAGCGGACATCGCGACTGCGGGGGTCCGGGGAGAGCGGACATCGCGACTGCGGGGTCCGGGCGGGGTCCGGGGAGAGCGGACATCGCGACTGCGGGGTCCGGGGAGAGCGGACATCGCGACTGCGGGGTCCGGGGAGAGCGGACATCGCGACTGCGGGGTCCGGGGTTTAGTAACACTAACTTTCTCGTTTCCCAATGATAGCTGCTCAAAATACTATGACCCCACCCTTTCCTTCATTTGCACACCTACTTACCAGTAGGTTACACCGAAATACTGCATATGGGGTGCCGATAGGGAGGGGGAGGGGAAGAGAAAAGGAAGGAGAGGAGCAGTGTACATATAGTAAGATACCACAAAATGTCACTGCTGGTTTTTAAAAGTAATTACCGGCTTCTTTCCCCTTCACTATAGCACCAAGAATGAGCTGTCATTCTCACAATCGCTAAAGGAAACTGAGGGGCGGGTTCACTGGGTGACCCCACCCCTTAGCGGCAGGGAGAATGACAGCTCCTTCTTGGAGCTATAGTGAAGAGGGGAAAAAAAAAAGGAAGCTGGTAATTTGCATTTAAAAACAATGGTGGTTTTTAAATCTATTACCAGCTTTTACCCTGCTACTAAGGGGCTGGGGTCACCTAGTGACCCCACCCCTTAGTTTCCTTTAGTGGTATGGAGAATGACAGCTCATTCTTGGAGCTATAGTGGGGGGAGCCAGTAATTACATTTAAAAAGTGACGTTGGGGCATCCAGTGAGGGAACCCCAGTGTCTACACTGCTCCCTCTTTATACACTACTCCTCTCCTGCCCCCTCCTTACACAAACTGCCCCCTACAAAGAGGACCTGTCACTCACATGCAAATCACTATTGGTCCCCAAAGTGATAGTAATAAAATCATAAGTTAAATAAATAAAAATAAACATTAAAGTTAAAAAAAAAATTTAAATTTTTTAAATCTGAGCCTCCCCACCCCCACATACATTTCGATTTTCGGCCACATGCATTCTGAATTTTCGGTTTCGGGCAGCAGAATTTTCATTTCGGTTCACCACTCCCTATAGCAGCACCATGTCCCCAGCAGAAAGCCATGCGCACAGCAGCGCCGCATAAAGAAGAGTCCGCGATAACATTTAAACAAGTTAAGGTCTACAAGCTTTATTGATACTTGTTTTTTGTTGGTTTTATTACATATCACAATGCATTCCAAAGACTTGCTTCAGCACATTCCTGCAGCTGGGTAACGCTTTACGTTCTGGCAACGAGATTTGACTTTTTTTTTTTTATTCTTTTTTTTCTCTTAAAACAAAAATTTGCAGCGTTTTTAGTACTCGGTCCACAGAAGGTTCAAGTGACTGTAAATGTGGTTGTGCAAACCCAACTACTGAGCGACGACGTGTAAGTTCCTATATTGGTATACATAACTGTTCATTAAACAGACAATAGTGTTCCTAGAAATAGATTTTTGTCTTTAGGTGTATGTGCTATGGAGCTAGCAGTTAGAATGTCATTTAAATCCTAAAAATAAAAAAAAAAAAAAAAGCACTGTGGGAGGCTAGGCTCTCTGAAAACACTATAGATATTGGCAACTGATAAAACGATAAAATCACGAGATAGAGCTACCATCATACCGAACAGAAGCCGTGTTGTCTCTGGGTATGATCACGAGGGGGGGGTTTTTGTTCGGGCAGCTCGTTCAGGTCAGAGGAGCCGTTGGGTGTGCCGCGGCTTCCGTTCTACGCTGAAGGGCCACCAAATATAACTTACTCTTCATACACAGTGCAAGAATTGATTAACATTATGCCCATGAAAGCGCAGTAAGACTACTTCGGAAGCACAATATACAGCATGCTATAAAACAAATAAACTTCTGTATTAAACAGTGCTTCACACAGGAGAAGAAACAGAAAATAGTTTCAAACCCATACATAGCAGCTTACAATACTCAGAATGAAACACATGGCAGTAAAACGGTTGTTTCGATCCTTAAACACTGCGTTGCAGAAAAAAAAAAAAAATATATATTAAAATAAAAGTAGAGATCTGAGAAAATGCACTGCAATGTCAAGGCTGGTCTTCCCCTGACCCACCCCAAGTCATCCAAATACACAGCGCTCAAATTCCGAGGCTCCTATTGGTATCTGCGGCAAACTTGACTTTTTTTTTTTTTTTTTTTTTTAGTAGCAGTTAATCGGTTTTGCGTTTCAGTCCGGGGACTTTAGCCAGGATCCTGTGCAAGGGAAAGAAAACCGTACATTAATAACAGGGTAGATGGAGAAAACCGTACATTAATAACAGGGTAGATGGAGAAAACCGTACATTAATAACAGGGTAGAAAACCGTGGAGGACACAAGTCATCTTCTGATAACTGTAGAACACCTTACTAAAAAATAGCACGTCTTGCCTGTCCAAAGTCTGCAAACCACCCCAGATACAAGTGGATTGCTTCAAAAAAGTCCTGGATTGTTTCTTGGATACACAGAATATAACTGGATATAACATTTATAGGTAAAGTTGATCCAGGGAATATCCGATTGCCTATCGGGGGATCAGGAAGGAATTTTTTTCCCCTGCAGGAGCAAATTGGATCGTGCTTTGCTGGGTTTTTTGCCTTCCTCTGGATCAACTGTGGGTATAGGATTATAACTTTTTTTTTTTTTTTATGGTTGAACTGGATGGACTTTTGTCTTTTTTCAGCCAGACTAACTATGTAACAAGGATGATGTGCACATGGTCGAAGGGTTGTGGAAATCCCTCCAAATTACACATGGGTGTCTGTATGCTGAAGCATTAAATGGGACCAAAGGCTGTAAAAGCAATCATTTCTCCTTCTCTCTGGCTGCATTCTTGCAGCCATTGAGAAATACTGTGTGCTGTGATTGGTCACCTCTTGTCACATGGTACAAGGCTGTTGTGAATAGCCTTGTACCATATGATCTCTGATCATTCACAGATTTCACACGTAGTAAGCAATGATGTCAGAAGTGACATCTTGCTTACTACTCTTCATGTGATCACTGATTGGCCAATCAGTGATCACATGAAGAGTAGTAAGCAAGATGTCACTTCTGACATCATTGCTTACTACGTGTGAAATTTATGAATGATCACAATCAGTGATCCCATGATCGGGACCTCGCACAGAGATCCCGTACAACGATCGGTGTTCCACTTGGGTTTAGTTACTAAAGCTGGAGAGTCCAAAATCAGACTCCCTTCTGCATAGAAACCAGCTTCCAGGTTTCATTGCCAAAGCTTCATTGAACAAGCTGAGGTTAGAAGCTGATTGGTTTCTATGCAGAAGGGAGTCTGATTTTGGACTCTCCAGCTTTAGTAAATAAACCCCACTGTGTCCGGAGGACACAGCGGGCAGCGGATCGCGGTGCTGCACGCTCCCAGGGAGCGCGCACATGCAGGGAGCGGTGAGGCAGGTTATAAATGGCCACCCGACCCTGCACTGCCACCGTCTGGCCGTTTATATACATGGGCCGGATGGGAGGTGGTTAACAAACACACCACCACATGCAACACCTAGATGTGAATGGGCCCTAAGTGAGATCAATTCACAAAAATCATGTTCTTTATATAAGCCGGTCACTATCTTATGAATCTAAAAAATCCTCCAGTCCTATCAGGGCCGTGCCACACAGAAGATGACAAAAGCTGACATTACACAACTAAAGCACAAAGAACACTTACAAGTCTTTTACATTGTTAACATTCTTGCTTATGAGCGCTAAATAGTGATCCACTTGAGTCTGCAAAAGAAAACAATAATCGTCTTAGAAAACAAAGATGGTGGGAAGACCGGCATAAACTATTCAGGACATTCATCATTTGCCAATACAAAGAACTCAGCTTCTCCATTTCTATCCTATACAGCATCACAACATCTTAAGGAAGGAATTGGTAGCCTCCCCAGCGGTCTGATTATGTCACTATTTCTGTGCTCAAATCGGTACATTTTTTTTGCCTGGAAATATGTTTTTTTTTTATTGTAGGCCTGTAATTTTTAGGAATAACTCACTGAAATCTTTCCGAACAAGAGTCTAGTAAACATCCCGGATATGATAAAATTTGAAACACGAAATCATAAATTATAATTTAATAATCATAAAAAATAGAATTTAATTCAATAATATAATCAAACCAAAAACACTGAAATGTGAAATATAGCGCCAAGTTCGCACATCGCTGAGCAAAGTTGCAAAATCGTTTTCAGTGTCTGATGAGGAATTTCCCCCACGAATCATTATCACTCAATTCTGCAAGTGGTTCTAATTTACTATCGCTGTTCTCTAGCCGGTCTAAAACCGCTTTTGACCTAAAAGGGACGCTTTTTGGACGCCATGGATGTTTCTCAGTTTCCAGGCAGAAAGAACAGTAAAAATGCAGGCAGGGCGCCAGACAAAGCACTCGGGACAAAATGTATGTGAAATGGTTTGATACAGGAATGTTATACTATGTGATTTTAGTGAATTCAGGGAATAGCACTTCTACAATTTTCAAATTTCCCACCAGTTCCGTCCCCCCCGACGTCGCAGGGAACGGAACCCAGAAGACAGATGCCGGCATTGGCTGGAGGACATTACAGGGGACACTCCAGGAGGGACATCGCGGGAGAGCAGGACAAGGTAAGTGCAGAAGAGATCCCGGAGCAACGCTGCAGTGTATTCCCGAGTGTAGCTCGGGGTTACCACTTGTGGTGCTGAAACTTTACCCCGAACTACACTCGGGAATACCGCCAGGGAGGTTAAAAGAGAAGAACATCAGGAGAAAGCATGAAAGGAGTATATTACTAAAATCATCAGCAATTCTAAGGCCCTATTCACATCTTGTGATTTGGGATCGTGAGCAGAAATCACAATTCTGTCTGCGGTTCCAATTTGCTGTACAATGTGAGATGAGCATTTTGGAGTCATTATCCTTAAAGGCAACACAAATGCAATGTGATGCTCCAGTGATTGGCGCACGACAGAGCTGCATGGCAAACTGAGCCCTTGAAAATCATGTGACGCTCATCACCCCAAAAAGGAGGAAGAGCTTCTTTTCGGGCAACATGCATAGGGAAGCCTATTCATGTGAATGAGCTGGCCATATGCAGCATACAAAATCGCATGAGAATTGCTATGCAATTACGTGACTGGGGCCTAGTGGCACTGCCCTGCTGTGCTTCTGTTAAAGATCTGTGGCATGTTTCACATGACTGTCGTATTGTCTGTCATATACCTTTAAATGTTTTCAGTGTTTTGTCTCTGCTCCTCCCTTTCCTTTAATTTAGCTAATGTTGCATAGATAGCCCTCCCCCTTCCCAGAGATGCATTGCAGTTAGCCTCATGGCATGGAGCAAGACACTGTATGTTCTTTTGACCTATCGAATGGTCATTGTTGTAAGATTCTCTCAGTTTATGGAATAAACTTCACAAGATCTACAGGATGTCGTTCTGATTGAGTCACTGACTGTGGTATCCAACTGAGGTTGAAGTTATCGCTATCTCATCACAACTGTAAGTTACAGAGATCACGCTATCAATGCTTAGATTGGACACACAGAACAAGCAGATGACCCCCAGTTTTTTATGTGGGTTAGCTGCACTTTCCCAAAGACTTCTATGGGGTCCTGTGGATTTTCAGAAAGTGCACAAAAACTCCTGCATGCAGCATCTGTGGTGCGCTTTCTGACGTCACAGAAGTCTATGGGAAAGTGCAGCTGACCCACCCAAAGTATAGCGGGACCGCAACAGACAGTGCGAAACTGCCTGCCCCAAGGTCTGTTCACATAGGGGTGCCAATCCCATACACCTGTGCAAAGAAACATCTTCATCTGCACGGGATGCACAGGTATTCTGCAGAGCCCCATGTAGACAGCCTGCTCACATGAATGAAAGGCGGTTGGCTGCACTATTTCTATGCGAATCCAGGAGTCGGATTCAATGCACAGATCAGGACGCAGTCTCTCTGCCAGACAAAAATGTAATATATTGCAGCGATCAGTCATTAGATGTGGAGCCTGCATTGGCTTTTTCAACCCATTTTCATTTTAGAAGCAAAAATAAGCAGCTGGCAACCCAAAACCTCCAGGTGTAGGAGTCTTTATTAGTTACTCGGTGATAACCGAATACAACAGCTTATGCGTTTCGGCTGATGGCCTTCATCATAGCAGGATTTTCATTTTATTGTAATCTAGTAATCCTGTGATTAATCCCCTTCATGGCTACACTCATTTCTCCACTGTAACTATTGGGGAGACCATGGTTGGCACATAGGCTGGACATCAAACATGCCTGCTGATGTTAATTGCCATTACATGATGGATTGATGGGATTAGTAGTTTACATATGTAAGAGAAAGGATGTTTGCTTTCTTTTCAGCTCACAGAAGTGACAAGGACACAGCATTTTGGCAGGACCAACCTGTATTTTCTGTACTTGCTAAAAATGTTCTAAGACTAAAAAAAAAAATTAAAAAACTAGTGCAGCCATCACATCTAAGGCTGGCCATACAGTGATTGAAATTTGGATAGTTCAATTAAGGTGTGGCTGTCCCTTCTCAACAGAAGTCGATAGTTTGATAAAATATGTCAGAAGTCAGCCAAGAAGTAGTTGCAGCATTGATCAGTGCATTCTGACAGTGGTGGGTCCCACTATTGGAATACAATGTCCTGAAGGGTGAAGTTTCCTTCATCCACCTTTGGTTGGAAAAAAAAAAAAAAAAAAAAAAAAAAAAAACACAAAAACACGTCTATGGTCAGCTTAACCCCTTGACTCTGTGCCTCCCTGCCCTTTAAAAGGTTTCTGATGCCAGGAGGCGGGGTTTATGATCATGCAACTGCCGTGATGGGCTGTCACAGCAGTCACATGACCGGAAAGCTCCTAATCGCAAGTAGCAATCAGTAAGTGTGCTAAGAGCATGCAGGGCGAGCGCCCTTGGCACAGGTCTATTCACATTTGGGTACGGAAACATGCAGCCTCTAGGTGTCAAGGCCCACCCCCGAGGGGCCACATAGTTGCTGCAAAGGGGTGAAGGACGAGTCAGCTGCAAGTTACCTTCAGCATAACCTCCGATCACCAATGTAGTTAGGTACATTCCATTATTTTTATGAGCACTTATGATAAACAGGCGTACTTACCTGATGTCTTTCATAAACTACAGGAATACTGAACAAGGAAATCAGTGCTAGAAAAAAAAGAAAAAAAAAGTCAGACAAAAGTGGTGAGAAGTTCTAGGCTCAGAAATGTTTAGTTATTAGGGGCAAGACCATGGGCGGACTGACAACTCATGGGGCCCCCAGGCAATAGGGGATCATGGGGCCCCTGTGTCCTTGCCCAAACTCAAAAAAGCCTATGAAAACGGTACCAGGGGCATCTCATGGGGCCCCCTACTGACCCCGGGCCCTCGAGCAGTGCCCGAGTTTCCAAATGGTCAGTCCGCCCCTGGGCAATACACCCTGCCCCTGTATACAAGACAGATATTACCAAGCACAAGAAACAAAGCAGGCTGGACCAGGGGGAATATTATATACAAATAGGGGGATTCACAATGGAAAATACGTCATTGTTTTAGTGCAAATATCAGCATTTTTCATGCACCAAATAACAATGACATCGCACACATTCCACGTGTTGCACCGATTCATGCTAAAAATAATTTCTGTTAAAGTAGAATTAAAAGGCAACCCCAACCCCCCCCCCCCCCCCCCTATTTTGGACAAAGGAAGGGAGGGTTATAACCCGTTTTTTTTTTTTTTTTTACCATTTGTGTCTCATTGGGGAGATTTCTCTTCACTTCCTGTCCCATAGCCAAGACAGGAAGTGAGAGGAATGGGGGAATCCCTGGATGTCACTACAACTAGACTCCTCACTGAAAGTTTTCCCTCTATTCCTGTTCTGGTGACATCCTCCCAAATTTGGGCTTTTCCTTCACCTTCAGTGATAACAGTAAACGGGACAAATAGAGAGGGTGAATCTCCCCAACGGGGACATGGACCCTCTGTCTGGTTTTTGTGGATATCTAATCCCTCAGCACTCTATCCATAGTTACCATTTAATGTCCGCTAGCGTGCGCTAAACTATTCAGAGCGTTTGTGCCAATGTTTCAGGTTACAAATCGTTCTAAAAATGTACACAAAACCCTGTAATGAAGAGGAGCAGACTGAGGAGCAGCGCTGTGTGTGTGCAAACACTTCTATTTTGGTGAATAAAGCACTAAATAAAACATGCAGATAGAAATTGCCATTTTTTTTTCTGCACTCCAATCTGTGTTTACTATCTCTCATAGGGAGCAAAAATCAATGTCCTATGTCCGTGTTTTCATAACTCACACATGTGATCACCTATAGAAGACTCAGCAGGGACCCATGCAAAGAGGTGCAGGCGGGAAGCCCCTTTAAAAGTAATGGAATCCTGACAGCGCTCACAGATCTTCACGGTCATTCTCATGTAATCACTGATGCAGGGATTACCTGCAGATGATCTGCCCAGGATGCAGACTGTCCAGGGCCGATTTTTTGTAGGTAACTGCTGCATGAACAATTACAGAAGGATGGCTGTGAATGGCTGAGAGTGTGGTCAGGCTCCCATTGCTTTAATAGGGCTTCCCGTCTGCACCTAATCGCATGGGTTCCCGCTGAGTCTCCCACATGACTTGTGAGGTGTTGGCTCTAAAATGCCTGAATCCTTACTCCGGCTCCATTCACGTGGGACCTGAATCCTTACTCCGGCTCCATTCACGTGGGACCTGAATCCTTACTCCGGCTCCATTCACGTGGGACCTGAATCCTTACTCCGGCTCCATTCACGTGGGACCTGAATCCTTACTCCGGCTCCATTCACGTGGGACCTGAATCCTTACTCCGGCTCCATTCACGTGGGACCTGAATCCTTACTCCGGCTCCATTCACGTGGGACCTGAATCCTTACTCCGGCTCCATTCACGTGGGACCTGAATCCTTACTCCGGCTCCATTCACGTGGGACCTGAATCCTTACTCCGGCTCCATTCACGTGGGACCTGAATCCTTACTCCGGCTCCATTCACGTGGGACCTGAATCCTTACTCCGGCTCCATTCACGGGGACCTGAATCCTTACTCCGGCTCCATTCACGTGGGACCTGAATCCTTACTCCGGCTCCATTCACGTGGGACTGAATCCTTACTCCATCCATTCACGTGGGGCCTGAATCCTTACTCCACGTGGGGCCTGAATCCTTACTCCATTCACGGGGGCCTGAATCCTTACTCCATTCACATGGGGCCTGAATCCTTACTCCATCACACATGGGGCCTGAATCCTTACTCCATTCACATGGGGCTGAATCTTTACTCCATTCACATGGGGTCTGAATCCTTACTAAGGCTCCATTCACATGGGACCTGAATCCTTACTAAGGCTCCATTCACATGGGGGCAAACGGCCCCATATGAATGGAGCCTTAGTAAGGATTCAGGCATTTTAGCGCCAACACCTCACAAATCATGTTATATAAAGAACACAGAAGATGCCATTTTTTTCGGACAATAAATCCCTATTGTTACACTGAAGAGACACATCCAGCTGAAAATGCTGCAGCAGCCTATTCAATATCATAATAATCGGTTTTATTTCCCCCAAGTGGGATGATGAGCAGAGGTCTTCTCTTATGTGTACCATAATATTAATACTAGAACATATTTATAGTATTAAGGCCCCTTTCACATGGCCAGCCTATCATTTTTGTAGGCGGACCAGATCAGAAGGTCCATTGATCCCTATGGACAGGAGGGCGTAAAATGGATTTGTGCGTTTACACCTGCCCTTCTCCTAAAAACAATGGAAGGGGATCCGCCCTCTTCCATTCAGGCAGATCAGAGGGTAGTCTGTGTAGACAGCGGAGTCGGTTTACCCCCATGCCCATAGAGCACAGCAGGCTATGTCCGTGTCTTCTCTGTACAAACGGAGTGGACACAGACATGTCATCCGCCCGCTCTGCTCCAATCAGCAGGGGATCTATGAGCTGATCAGAGCAGAATCTGCCAAGTGTGACAGGGGACCAAATGCCACAATCTGACTGGAATGGGGCCGACAAGCTGAGAGACTATGGCCCTAAGACAACAGCATGGTAAGCAGCCGCGATACAGACACAAGACATACATAAGCAGATTTCTACTCACCCAGGATCAGTAAGGTCAGGCCATTGAACAAGGCACCGATATAGGTGAACACCCACATCAACACTGCAAACTGAACACAGAACAGAACAGGTCAGGGGATTGTACAATTCTGACACAAGTTTACATGACATTTATGGCTCACATAGACCATCCCGGATCTATTCAGCCTTCTTATATCATAAAATATGTGAGGAGTGGATGGTATTTCACGATTTGTAACCATCACACCATGCGACACAAGCCGCCATTAACACCGGACACACAACTGATTTCCTCTCTTTGAATTCATTTTGAGGGTTTCTAAAACCTTAAAATTTAGGACAGTGAACACAATTTAAATTACATAAAAATAAAAAAGTCAAATGCATTTAAAACCAACCTATGAGGTCCATGTATAAAACAAACGTAACATCTATCCACACAGAACGTCCTGTATTATTCCAAATAGGAGTTCCTATATCAGGGGTGTCAAACTGGCGGCCCTCCAGTTGTGGCAAAACTACAAGTCCCATCGTGCCTCTGCCCTTGGGAGTCAGGCTTGTAACTGTCAATCTTGCAATGCCTCATGGGACTTGTAGTTTGGCAACAGCTGGAGGGCCGCCAGTTTGACACCCGTGTCCTATATAGTCATCACCATCTAGCGGCCATCATGCATTCCCTATCTGCATAGAGAACATTTTCTAGACCCCCATGTGTCCACATAAAATACATAAATGCTGGTTATTTGTCCGTATGCCGTTTACAGGTATAATTTCTCAGATTACAATATTCCTGACTCATCTGCCTTTCTCTCTTGTATTCTGTTGTCATGTTCGTTCAGCGTCACAAATTCCTTCCAGGACTAAAGCTGGATCGAAATATGGCTGAATCAGCAGGGACCGTCCAAGATTCGATCCATGTATGGGCAGGCTGGTTGTACTGCAGCTGACCATCAATCGACTTGGGTACAACATGTGATCGCTGCTGGCAGTAATCATAAGAGTTCTCCCACAAACCCCACAACGCCGCACAACCCCCCCCCCCCCCCCCCACAGGAAGAACACTGTGAGAGGCATTCCTCCACCAACACCGACTGTGTTGATGGGGGAAATCAAGCCAATTTCTTAATAGAATCATCTATAGGCTGTTTAATATACAGCACTGTAAATCCCAGCATCTGAACAGGTACATGTATGTTGGGCTGGGGTAAACCGCTCACATTTCAGCCTCCCTGCTTCTCACTTGTGTTACTAGGCCAGGGCTTGGAATTTCCACTTGCCTGCTCGCCAGTGGCGAGTGGAAATTATGGTGGGGGGTGAATGTATGTGTGTCCCACAGGGCCGTCTGCTGAGCAGGCTCGGAGCTCAGGCCGGATCTGTCATTGGCACTGCGAGCCGTCAGACTGCTCAATAGCTGAACGCAGTGAAAGCAAAGCAAGGAGTGTGTGCTGTGCTCTCTGCCTCCCCCTAGAGTGCAGTACCTGGATCTGTGCGTGAACAACGAAGTACTGCAACTTTTTATTGGGGGGGTTGGTTGTGTGTGTACATGGACAAGTGTGTGTCTGTGTATGCATGTACAATTGTACATGTGTCTATGTCTACATGTGTGCATGTACATGTGTGTATGTACGTACATGTGACGTGTGTGTACGTATGTACATGTCTGTATGTACATGTGTGTGTATTTCTGTGTATATACATGTATCTGTGTGTATGCATGTCTGTACGTGCCTATGTGTATACATGTGTCTGTGTGTGTGTGTGTGTGTGTGTGTGTTACACGTTTCTGTGTGTGCATGTGTTTGTGTATGTACATGTCTGTGTGTGTGTACAGGTGTGTTTGTACATGTCTGTGTGTGTGTACAGGTGTCTCTGTGTGTGTTTGTTGGTGGCGAGTAACTCTTAAGGCCTGGCTAGTAGCTCAGGACTTGAAATTTTAAGCCCTGTACTAGGCTACTATGTTACAGGAGTGCAACGGATTATCGCTGGGCGGGGGAGACTGAGGAAATGCTCCCTCCTACCTGCAGCAGACCACACCATTCTCCCAGGATGCTCCTCTTAGGCTTTCACACAGTCCATTGACTGGAACTCAAGGATTGCCTTCTGATGAGAGGCACAGTTCTTGTGAACATGTACACTCTTCTATACTGTGCAAGGATGGGAATTGTAATTGGTCACCACTAATCTCTGGTACCTTCATCCTCCTCCAGAATGTCTTTTTTGTTTTTGCTGCTGTGATTCAGCTCCTGTTAGAGGGAGGCTACCTTCGCTTTATTGTACTGTATGTAGGAACGTAGCCTCCCTCTCTAGTTCACTCCTGAGATGGATTATGGAATTTTTACATTTGCACAGAGCAGTGTACATAACTGCAAACAGTGTGCACTGCTTAATCCAAACAAATGGAAGCGAGGGTGAGGAGAGGTTCAGGAGCTCATAGACATGGAGGCAGAAAAACACAGAGAACAATTTTATCAAAAATAGATTACAGGACCATGAAGTAGTTGAAGTGTGCCAATTATGTTTATAGAATAAGCGGCTTTAGAGCTGAGTACATGCAAGAAACATTCACACGTCACCGTGTGAAATATTTAGGAGATCAACAACTGATATTACACCAACTTTTTTGTAAATGTGTGCAATCAAGATCTGTTTGATGATCTCCCCTGGGAAGTATGAACCGGAGGTGCTCAACTCTGAGCGCTTCCATGTTCAGAGCCATCAATCTCCTGCCTCTCTGGCTGGGGAAGAAGGTGATGGAGCATGGACTGCACTTAATCTGCTTCAACAGATTGCAATGAGACATACGACTACCCAACACATACACTATATTGCCAAAGTATTGGGCAAGCCCTCCAAAAATCATTGGATTCAGGTGTTCCAATCCCCTCCATGGCCACAGGTATAGAAAAGCCCCTAGGCATACAGACTGCTTCTACAAACATCTGTGAAAGAATGGGTCGCTCTCAGGAGCTCAATGAATTCAAGCGTGGTCCCGTGATAGATTGCCACCTGTGCAATAAGTCCATCCGTGACATTTCCTGGCTGTTATAATACCACTAACAGTTGAGCGTGGAATGTTTAGTAAAGTGGAAGCAACTGGGAACAGCAGCAACTCAGCCACCAAGTCGCCAACTGTCTGCTGAGTCAAAAGCTAAAGACCTCCAAACTTGGTGTAACCTTTAGATTAGCACAACAACAGTGCGTAGAGAGCTTCATGGAATGGGTTTCCATGGCCGAGCAGCTGCATCCAAGCCTTACATCACCAAGTGCAATGCAAACTGTCGGATGCCGTGGTGTAAAGCACGCCGCCACTGGACTCTAGAGCAGCGGAGACGTGTTCTCTGGAGTGACGAATCGCGCTTCTCTGTCTGGCAGTACCAATAGAACGGTACTTGCCTGACTGCATTGTGCCAAGTGTAAAGTTTGGTGGAGGGGGGATTACGGTGTGGGGTTGTTTTTCAGGGGTTGCGCTGGGCCCCTTAGTTCCAGTGAAGGGAACTTCAAAGGCGTCAGCATACCAAGACATTTTGGACAATTTCATGCTCCCAACTTTGTGGGAAGAGTTTGGGGATGGCCCCTTCCTGTTCCAACATGACTGCACACCAGTGCACAAAGCAAGGTCCATAAACGATATGGATGAGCGAGTTTGGGGTGGAGAAACTTGACTGGCCTGCACAGAGTCCTGACCTCAACCCCATAGAACACCTTTGGGATGAATTAGAGCGGAGACTGAGAGCCAGGCCTCCTCCCCCGACATCAGTGCCTGACCTCACAAATGTGCTTCTGGAAGAATGGTCCAACCTTCCCATAGACACCCTCCTAATCCTTGTAGACGGCCTTCCCAGAAGAGTTGAAGCTGTTATAACTGCAAAGGGCGGGGCCAACTCAATATTGAACCCTACGGACTAAGACTGGGATGCCATTAAAGATCCTGTGTGTGTAAAGGCAGGCGGCCAATATAGTGTATGTGCAGTGGCAAACAGATGGGCTTTAACCACCACACGTGTCAATGAGTGGCAGATGTTTCTGTGCTGAGAGTGCACTCAATGAACTCTCCCAGCACAGAGAAAGACTTCTCTTGGTCCCTGCTAATGGTTGGTAGCTGGTGGGATCAGCTCACGATTATGTGACCACTATGACAGCCAATTCCAGTGGTCGACCAATCTTTCCAGCCCCCCCAAGGTTCAGAACTTTTTAAAGGGACACCAGGGCAGGTCGGAAAGGGTTAAGGTAATCGCGTCACCTGCACTATCCTCATGAGCACACTTCTGAAAGCAATAAAAAGCTAAAAAAAAAAAAAAATTAAGTTTATTCAATAAGATTTTAAGGGGGGGGGGGGGTGTGCAGAGGGTGGTAAGGCCACTAAATGCAACCTATTCAAATGAACACGGCCACACAGCAACCACTCTGCAATGCTGCAGTACAGTGCTGTGGGCTTCCAAGTATTAAAACGAGGATTACGTTGCACACCTTCCATGTGCTATATTACTGAACAAGCTCTTTCCAGTACAATGATCCATACCTTTCCTGCAAGGTTCAATGAACCCAATATGTACATCTATTCTGGATATAGAGTATCTCCTTTACAGGAACATTATGTCCCACTACATTATTGTATCATAAGTCACTTTCTGTGGAAAAGCGGAAGCCAAGGATCTGAAGAAGGAAAGAATTGAGCATTTTTCCTTCAGAAGTTATACAGCAGCTCATAGTGACTGGGTACACCTAACATGGATAAGCATCCCATGTCAAGCCAATGCAACAATAACTACATATAGAACATGGATAGCCAAAAAAAAAAAAAAAAAAAAAAAAAAAGGGGGGGACTCTGGCTAGAAAGGTAAGTCCAACAATAAATGCTAATGACCAGTGTGCTTTAGACCGCATATACCAGGGCTTGACAAATTTGCTTTGAATCTAGAAGCCAGTTTTTTTTTTTTTTTTTAGCGTAGCATCTGTTTTTGGCGTCCGAGACTTCAAGTGATGCGATTTGCCACATGACAATCACGGCAAAACCACACCACGTTTTAGGTGCCACTGAAGATAATGGCACCTGAACTTGGGCATTTTTGTGATCACAGCAGAATTCGCTGTGATCCCAAAAATGCACAAGTGTGAATGGAGCCGCCCTGGTTCACACACGATTCTGGATTTATTTTTGAAACATACAGATTCGCATAACAGGCTATTGTGTTCCTAATGAGGTGGTTCACACAGATGCGATCCACAGGCATTGTGTCTTGAGTGCCATTATTAAAAGCGTCCCTTTCGAGTTTGTGCCAGTGCGTTCCAGACTCGCAAGTGATAGAGTGGCATGCAGAGATATGCGCTCAATGCAAAAACTCCTGTCAATAGCAACCCTATGTGAAGAGTGCGGGGCGCGGCCTGCCCGGCAAGAGAGAGTGCGGGGCGCGGCAAGAGTGCGGGGCGCGGCAAGAGTGCTGCCGCGGCAAGAGTGCGGGGCGGGGCGCGAGTGCGGGGCGCGGCAAGAGTGCGGGGCGCGGCCTGCCCGGGGCCGGCAAGAGTGCGGGGCGCGGCAAGAGTGCGGGGCGCCCCCGGGCAAGAGTGCGGGGCGCGGCCTGCCCGGCAAGAGTGCGGGGCGCGGCCTGCCCGGCAAGAGTGCGGGGCGCGGCGCTGCCCGGCAAGAGTGCGGGGCGCGGGCCTGCCCGGCAAGAGTGCGGGGCGCGGCCTGCCCCCGGGGCGCGGCCTGCCCGGCAAGAGTGCGGGGCGCGGCCTGCCCGGCCCAAGTCTGCGGGGCGCGGCCTGCCCGCCCAAGTCTGCGGGGCGCGGCCTGCCCGCCCAAGTCTGCGGGGCGCGGCCTCCCGCCCAAGTCTGCGGGGTGCGCGGCCTCCCGCCCAAGTCTGCGGGGCGCGGCCTGCCCGCCCAAGTCTGCGGGGCGCGGCCTCCCGCCCAAGTCTGCGGGGCGCGGCATGTGTGAACCCTGGCGCCATTACACAATTTCTAGTCGCTCAATATCACTAAATATCCTCAGACTGATGGCCAGCATCATTCAACCCACTTCCTAAGTGTCCAGGTCGTTCCCTCCCTATGAATGGGTAATTAAAGGAACAGTAGCACAGTGGTCAACTAATCCGTCACGGTTTTCTCCTCCTATCAGCATGCATCATGGCCACACACAAACCGACTGGTTCTCTGTGCTGCTTAGTGTGAGCTTGGCTGTACAGGGACTGGAAAAAGCCAATACCAGACCAAAATTCAGCCATGTCTGTCTATACTATAATATCAATGTGCAGCGCTAATAAAAATGTGTTCTAATCAAAGATGACCAGTGTGGTTGTAAAAAACATCATAAAAAAATAATTTGTTTGCTTTCTTTTTTACAACCACACTGGTCATCTTTGATTAGAACACATTTCTATTAGCGCTGCACATTGATATTATAGTGTTTTGTTTTGGGGGAGACAGAGGGTTTGCCACGTTGTGCTAGCTGCTTTACTTTTTCCTTTTTTGTCTTGCGCTCACATTTATTCTTTGATTATAATATGTCTATAGATGCAGGCAGTGCGGCTTGAGGTCACACAAGTAAGGCCTGGTTCACACCTATGCATTTTTTACTACTTTTTGCAGAAAACGCACTATAGTCCATGTTAACATGGTTTCCTATGGGACATGTTCACATCTATGCTTTTTTGAGTGGCTGTGTTTTTGGAAAGGGTCAGGGACTTTAGTTTTAGCAAAAATGCTGCTTTTTGCATTTTTAGAGTTCAGAAGAAACACTGATGAAACGCATGTAGTGCATTTTTGCCGCGTTTTTTATCCTGTCCAGCAACAAAAACA